AAACCTCCTTTGAACAAATCTTGCCAAGAAAACCCCATGATAGGTTTGAAGGCACACGAGAACAAACAACATCTAAGCAGCTACATCATGTGACCAGAGGACCTTCCAGATGTTTTTGCAAGCACATAAAAGACTCCTCCATCACTTCCTTCCTCCTCTTTCTCTCCCTCTTCCTTCCTTCTGTGAGTAGTCTTTGCTGAGTTATTCCTCTTCTTTAAATTTTTCTAGAGTCAGCCAGGACTTAGGCACTTAATGTATATGTCTGAACATACCTTTGAAATAATTAATAAAGTTTTTAGCTATGAAGTTTGCATACTGCCTGTTTGCCTAAGGCTAGGCTCAGAGAGACCCAAATGATTCAGAGCTTCCACTTGTGATCTCTACTGAAAAAGACTGAATCTTAATTTAACCACTCTTCAACTTTCACAGAAAAGGGGCTACCACCCTGGAACTAAACTTTTAACAGTTTTCACTTGTTGACAGAAGGACAGGAAGGAGCATCCACCCCAGCCTCAACCTGACCTGGGAGTTTTGAATGTCTGTGGCTCTACTGCCTTGTATTATCATATCATCTTATGCATGTGCTATATGTTCATTTCTTTCATGTTGTAACTTGCATGTTGACCAAGCTCCTGTCACAAAAGAGAACTAAGCCTCCAGTCCAATCCCAGGCTAGTGCTTCACAAGCCCAGCCCTTGAAGAGAACAATGTACTGAAGCCTGTACACACCCCACATATATTAATCCTTTCTGAGATGCTGGCCAGGATCCTGTTGATGCAATATACCGATGGCAGCAGGAGAAAGGAAGACACTGGTGAAATAGTCTACTCAGAGCTGACAAGGTTTGCCTGTGACCTTAGAAAAAGTGAAACTGCTAGCCTGGTGTGCCAACAGAACTCCAGCCATTGGTTTTATTTGGGATGGCATCCTGTACATGATACATGGAAACATAATTTGACCTTAGCTTGTATATTTTTTGGTTGTTGCAGAGGTTGGTATTCCCTACTTCCTTCTACAATGATCAAATCCCACCCCACCCCCCTTACAAGATTCACCATGTCGTTGCAATAGACATCTCCAATGGCCATTCCTCTGCGACTGGAGAATGGAAGGAATCAGAGAAATATCTATGTTCCCAGAACTAATGGAATGTCTGTTAGGAGCAACTATTGCACTCACACAGTTATTCCAGGGGCTGGTGACAGGTGACCTATAGCAGAGTTTTATACATAGCACTCTTACATTAAGCATGGCTATGTGGAGTCTTGACCTTTATGTGTTCTGGCCTTTAATCCAAATTTTAAAAAGGTAAAAATTTCCCCTTTGACAAGATTGTCTAGTTGTGTCTGACTGTAGGGGGTGGTGCTAGTCTCTGTTACTAAGCCAAACTGCCAGCATTGTCAAAGACAACTCTGTGATCATGTGGCCAGCATGACTGCACAGAATGCTGCTACCTCCTGCCGAAGTGGTAACTATTTATCTACTTGCACTTTTACATGCTTTTGAACTGCTAGGTTGGCAGAAGCTGGGACTAGTGACAAGAGCTCACTCTATCATGTGGCACCTGGGCCTCCAACTGCTGACCTGCTGATCTTGAAATTGTCAGAATCAATGTCTTAATCACTGAGCCACCCTAGTCCAAACTTTAGATAGCTTTAAAGGAGTTATATGATGAGCCTATAAGCCTATAGAGGCAGAGTTCAGCACTTTGGATAGCTTTAGACTAAAATTTGGAGCAGATTCACCACCTCACTGACATGCAAACTGCCAGGTCTTGGGGATGAAATGAATATGGATATATATTGCTATGTTATTTGATGTTTGGGATACAGAGCTCATTTTTGTCTTGTTCTCAATTTCTACACCAAATTGCATGTCTGTGCCCCATTTTTTGTTTTCTGCCATTGTTATATACATTATGAAATGGGTGTTGGGGAAAAGCCAAACCAAACCCTTTTAGGTTCAAAACATTGTTTTGAAAACAGACCTTCCCCTTAGCCTCTGCTTTGCACTTAGGTTCTTGTGCAAGTTACATATCTTTTACACACACTAGTGACATTCCCACCCCTGGTGTCACCCAGTGTGAGGGGGTGCTGTCCCGGGGGTGGTGGTGATGGTGGCCAAAAGGGTGTAC